ATATTCAAGGTCACAGGGGTCAAATATGTTAAAAACTTTAAACAACTTCTGAATAACAAAAAATGCCCAGGGTGATGATATTTAGTCAGTAGCATACTAGGATCAAGGGCTACCAAGTTTGTTTAAATGTATGACCTTGAATCATATTCAAGGTCACAAGGAGCAAATATGGTCAAAATATAAAAAAAAATAAACAACTTGTTCTGAATAACCAAAAGGCTTAGGATGTTGATATTTAGTCAGAAGCATGCTGGGATCAAGGACTACTATATGTTTGTTAAAGTGAATGACTTTGACTTATATTCAAGGTCACAGGAGTCAAATTTCTTTAAAATCTTTAAAATCTTTAATCGACCTCTTCTACATAACCATGGGTCCCAGGATGTTGATACTTTGCAAGTTGCATCCTGAGATAAAAGGCTATAAAATTTGTTCAACATAATGACTTTGTTCGACTTTCTATCACAGGGGTGAAATGTTTAAAAACAAAATAACAGGTTCTTTTGAATGAATTTTAATCATAAATATTGATATTTTATTTTGCCTGTAGCTTTATTTTAGATCGCTTTTAAGGTTACAAGTGTGAGATTTATACCAGATGAGCGATGCAGGCCCATTGGGCCTCTTGTTAAATTCTTCGATAACCAGCATATGTCATACTTTGATAGACAGCTATTCCTATATTTTGGCCAGAGGTAGCAGAGTACAGTAGAAATGGCCTGATTCTAAAAATAAAGGGCATGTCTCAGATAAACATGGATAGTGGATTCAACCTGCACAACACACCTACATATATATATTTATAAACTACATTTTGAATACATTTTGTTTAGAAGACTGATTTTTTTCAAAAATGTTTTTCCCCAGAATAGGGACTTGTGAAAACCATGGTTACCACATCAAAAAACACAAAAGAAAATGCAAAATAATATGATTTTTAACCCAAAATTTGATCCCCGAAAGTAGGGGTTTTTTTCTTAATAAAAACCGGTCTGAAATTAAATATCGCCTACTCGGTAACAGAAATACTCACGTTTTAATATAGGTAATTCCGGTGGATTTTTCACAGTATTTACATGTGCTGAGTACAAAAATAGACTACATGAAAAGGGTAACAGGTTGTTTCGCCCCAAATCCCGTTCGCCCTAAGGGTTGTTTCGCCCCAAATCCCGTTCGCCCCAGGTTGTTTCGCCCTAAAAAAATATTTTTTTCTTTTAAGTCATAAATATCATGTTAAAAGTTAAAAAAAATATCTTTCTCTTGAATCAAGATATAATTACATGCCGGAAGGTGAAGAACGAACCTGTATATATTCATCACCGAATCCTACAACGGACATACTAATATCCGGAATATACTGTATATTATCGTTTTCATTTCTTTACCTTAATGAAGTAATGTAGTTCTTTATAAAATGCACCTGTATATATTTCAACGTTAAAAATATTTAAAACATGATATAAACAATTAAAAAGCACCCTGTCACGTCAGCCATTTTATATAAAACAAATTTCTCTTAGTACATAGATACGTATACGAAATGGACATAGATTAGGTACAAATTGCGTATAAGAATGAAAAGAAATTAATACTTTAATTATATATATCTATAATATATAGATAAGATATGGATATATAATGAAACTAAATTAATTTCTCTAAGTACAATACTTATAATATATAGATAAGATATGGATATTATGATATAATGAAACTAAATTAATTTCTCTAAGTACATAGATACGTTTACGAAATGGACATAGATTAGTTACAAATTGCGTATATAGACTGAATCTACATACGTATATTAATTGCGTATAAGGATGAAAAAAAAATTACTTTCTCTAGAGACGTATACGAAATGTAAATAATTCCCCAATACATAGATACGTATTTTAATTGTTAAGCAGATGTGTACATTTGAATTATGAAATAAACGTTGGCAATTTACTTAGGGAATTATCAAAATACATTAAATATACTTGTATAATAATGCACTTGCCAGTCTGGCAGGTTCTATGACTATAACTAATTTTAATGATATGAAAGACTAAGAAGACTTAATTTGTGACTTAAAACAAATAAAAATGAAAAGAAAATACCAAACAATATTTCGCCCTAAAAAAATTGTTTTAGGGCGAAACAACCTGGCGCGAAACAACCTAGGGCGAACGGGATTTGGGGCGAAACAACCCAGATTTGTAAATGCCCAAAACTGTAGTCTCAAACCAAATTCGAATTATTATTTTTTGAATAAGCCAACATAGTCCACTTCATCATGTATATGCCAATTTTAGTGCAGATTTGTTGAAAAATTTCGATACATGTAATATTACAGGGGTTATTCATTGTATAAAATATCACCCATGGCCACCGTACGCTACCTACTGTACATTGCTACCTGAGCACCATTTGTGCGATTAGATAATAAATGTTGTCCTAATGTCAACAGTAATGTGTATCAATCTGTAAAATTTAATATTCCATGCCTTTAGCTTGGTCACAGTTTAAAATGGTACTACTAAGAAGTTGATATGCAAGGCTTCGTGTGAATAAAAAGTCCCATGAAATAGACGAAATATAAAGTACCGAAAAGACTAAATATAAACATCCAATATCTTAAATTATCTTTGATACATCCAAAGGTAGACAAGGTAATGGAAAGAGCATTGATTGAGAGTACAATCAAAGTTAAGGAGGCCATTGTATGTGTATGTTGATTGAAGGAGAAAACATTCCACAAGGAATATTGGTGATTATAAGGAATATTTTCAAAATTTTGTATTCCATCCTTAGTCTCATTTATCAATAAATTCCCAGAGTTCAATTTTCCCACCTGAACAACACCACGGATCATGCCTCACCCGAAAGTCTGCTTTACAATGCTTTATGATGACTCTTAGTCACTCTAGATCTTATGTAAATGACATTCTGTTTTTGTAGTTGGAAACATTCCATATGAAGCCACAGAAGAACAGTTACGAGAAATATTCACCCAAGCTGGACCTGTAGTAAGCTTCAGGTACGGACATCAACAAATTTCCCTTTGTCGTTGATTAACTGGTATACATATACATACGCATAATTAATGTTATATTTTAAGTTGAAATTTGGTGGTGAAAAGTGACAGTTTACCTTCATTGGAATAATCTTTTTCACTTTCAGACCCAAAAGGGTGCTTGTGAGGAAAAGACAAGCGGTACATTTTTATTTACTAGACTAAGACATAGTTTTCACACAAGCAGCATAAACAATAATGGCAGAGACATGGTCTCTTGATCCATTAATTTCCCAAGCTGAATTCACCACTTATGAAGTGTTCTATCTTTTAGAAAGACTGCAGTTTTCAGAATATAAGCATGTTTTTTTTTTATAATTTTGATTTGAGCAGGGGAAAGTAGTTTGGCGTGGCCATAAATGACTTCAATTGTTGCTGGTTTTTCCTCGCTTACAGCTGATATTAGAAGTCAAGTGCCTGTTAAGATATACCGGTACATTGAAAATAGAAAAAATGGATGTTGAATTGAAAAGTATGCACATTTTCCATCATCATTGTCTAGATATGACTGGTGAGGGGTAGATAATTATTGATAAAAACATTGATACCTTCTGCATTTTACATTTCAGGCTTGTGTATGACAGAGAAACAGGGAAACCCAAGGGATATGGCTTCTGTGAGTACCAGGATGTGGAGACGGCACAGAGTGCCATGCGAAACCTCAACAATTATGATTTCAATGGCCGCCCCTTGCGTGTGGGCGTGGCTGCTGGGGAACAGAACAGGGATGAAATGAAAGGCATGCAGCAGGCCATGGGGGGTCCTCTGCTAGAGGTACGCCATTCCAAGACATTTTACTGATATTTTTTTGTTGGGATATTTCAGGTGAGCCCAACATCTTTTTCAAAATGATGGAGTGCCACTACTAAGAGATCGCAGTAGATTGTCACAATGTGGATTAGTTCACAGGAGAAACATGAGTCAAGGAAACAAAAATCTCTGTCCCAAAAATCACCGATATCAAGTGTACGCAGTTATCAAATATCTAACACTTGTTTCCTTGTTCAAATTGAATGCATGTTTGCAGCTATCTCTCTCTTAGTGTCTAATGAGAAGCTTAAAAGGCAACATCATGTGATAATTGTTGACCATCATTGTACAAAATGTATTATTCTGTATTAACAGAGTCCGTTTGGAGATCCTACAGAGCCAGAGAAAGCCCCAGAGGCCATCTCCAAGGCTGTAGCTAGTTTACCCCCAGAACAGATGTTTGAGCTGATGAAACAGATGAAGGTAATAAGCATGTCTTTATTCAAACATTTTCTCTGATTTTATATACTTCAACTCAGGTGTCCACTCAGCTCAACACCTGGGGTAGTGCACCTGAAAATGTTGGAGCTTCATATTTTATCTACCTTTATATGTACGTTAAAGGTGCTGTTCTGTAAAGGTGGCTTTTATAACTATGCCACAAAGTCCTTCATACTACTGAATACTATGGACAATTCATGCTAAAAGATTGACAAAGAACCAAGGCTTTCTTGGAGATCTTAAGTAGTAATAAAGAAATCCTTAATTGAAGGACTATATAATGTGTACATTTAGTGGATTAGTTACAAACAATTATTCATACATGTCCAACTACATTAAAATTCATACAATGGTCTTCTAATTTTCTTGTAACTCAAGTTTATACATATTTCTGCATCCATAATATTTTCTAACAACACCTCTATCAATAGCATATTAGTTAGTCGGGTTTTTAGAAATATTGATATTGTATTTTGTGCAGAGGCTAAATTTTGAAATTCACCTTATTGGTACCTTATTGCGTTTGTACCCTCATAAAAACCTGTTTTTATTCTTGTTTGCAATATATATTTTTTATAAATTGAAAGTGCAGAGAAAGAGTTAGGTGTGAAATCACAATATGTTATCACATCACATAGTTAGGTGTTTACAAGCAACTTGCTTCCAATTAGAAATCATGATATGCTGTATTATTATCTTTTTCAAATGTTGACATATACTTGTTAGGAGAGGTATCTTTCCAGTACCTTCAATCTTACTTTAAAATATGTTAATTGACAAAATAGTCCTCAATCTAAGTACTTTAGAAGATATTTGAGAAGTCCAGTTCCTTCTTTTACATGTATACTAATTGAGTTGTTTAAAAGGTATTGGGAGAAATGAAGATATGCATACCTTGACATTAGATTAAGGAATTTTTGTTTATTGTAGATGTGTATTCAGAACAATCCAACAGAGGCAAGGAACCTGCTTTTACAGAATCCTCAGCTGGCCTACGCTCTCCTGCAAGCTCAGATTGTCATGAAAATTGTAGACCCCCAGGTTGCCATGGTAATGTCATATTTCTTTCCTCTGGTCCCACCTACTTAAGTAAACATATATAGTTCCATGATTTTGTTTTTGAATGTATTTTCACAATAAAAAGGCAGAAAGATGATATATCACCATGATCAGACTGGTATTGTTTGTTGTGTGAAGATATTGTTTAGAAGCTCACTGATTAATCTACATATTGTGTTTTTACAGGCTATGTTACACAGAGACACCAACCAGATCCCACCGTCAAATGTACCTCCTTCCTCACAGCCCATCAGCCTGCCACCACAGCTCAGGATGCCAAATACAGTCAGTACACTGTCAGCACACTATCGTTACACTGTCCTACTCCTATCAGTACACTGTCACTGTTGTCAGTCTACTATCAGTACATTGTCACTGTCGTCAGTATACTATCAGTACATTGTCACTGTCGTCAGTATACTATCAGTAATACTGTCACTGTTGTCATTATTTTTTCAGTCCATTGTCACTGTTGTTAGTATAATATCAGTACACTGTCACTGTCATCAGTATACTATCAGTAGACTTTCACTGTCGTCAGTATACTATCAGTACACTGTCACTATCGTCAGTATACTATCAGTACACTGTCACTGTCATCAGTATACTATCAGTACACTCTCACTGTCGTCAGTACACTATCAGTACACTCTCACTGTCGTCAGTATACTATAAGTACACTGTCACTGTTGTCATTATACTATCAGTACACTCTCACTGTCGTCGGTATACTATCAGTACACTCTCACTGTCGTCAGTATACTATCAGTACACTCTCACTGTCGTCAGTATACTATAAGTACACTCTCACTGTCGTCAGTATACTATCAGTACACTCTCACTGTCGTCAGTATACTATAAATACACTCTCACTGTCGTCAGTATACTATCAGTACACTCTCACTGTTGTTAGTATACTATAAGTACACCGTCACTGTCGTCAGTATACTGTCAGTACATTGTTAGACTGTTAGTATATCATCAGTATATTGTAATTCTGATGACAAACAGAAATCTTCATGTATACTTTTAGTATCAATCAGTGTTTTATCAGTATACTGCTGCTGTCAGTTATTATATCAGTATATCATGTACATATCTATTGTCAATAAAAGTTTACTATCAGTGCAGAATACCATCATAACAGCACTGTATCAACACTTATCAAAAGATCAAGAGTAGATATGTTTGGACGTGTATCATTACAGCCAATCTTCAATTGCACAGCAATTATTTTATGTACTATCATAAATGTAAGGGATATTTAGGTTTTAATTCTGCAGTGTGTTGTTGTAAGTGATTGTGTGTTGTAGTCAGTGCCCCAGGGCCCACCTAACTCTATGGGAGGACCCATGCCTATGGGCAGCAACATCATGGCTCCAGGTAAGTCTGCCTCATCAGTAAAAATACATATGATAAACAGTTTTTTACCTCTCTGTGTGTAATATTATAGACACACAGTTATTCTGATGACATTGATGTCTATATCAGCTCTGATGATAAGTTATTTTATGTTTTATGATAGTTAGTAATGTCAGTATGAGCTCATGAACAATGAATAATATGCAAATTCAGATGGTCAGTGATGTTATATAAGGTGATAAAACAGTATAATAAACCCTAGTTGGCACACTGTATTGTAAATCATAATTTCATATCATGCTCACTCTCTTTCATCATTTCCTGACCAAAATATAACCTATTCAATTCCATGTGTATCCACTAACTTTATAGCATATATTAGTGATTTATGAGGAAAAGTTTTCTGTTATGAACTGAATATATTTGGTGTAATTTGAATTATTAAATATAAAATGTAATATCTTTGTTTTAGGTCCACATGGCCCAGGTGGACCAGGACCACATGGGCCTGGAGGTCCCGGTTCTCACGGCCCTGGAGGACCAGGTCCACATGGCCCAGGAGGTCCAGGTCCACATCCAGGCGGTCCACATGGTCCAGGGGGTCCCGGACCTCGTGGCCCTGGAGTTCCTGGCAATCGTGGTCCTGGTGGCCCTGGTCCTCATGGCCCAGGTGGACCAGGGCCAGGAGGGCCAAGAATGGGTGGACCAGAAATGATGGGCAGACCTCAGGGACCATTGATGGGTAAGTGGGGTTTCACTACTGGTTGTGTGTGGGTCTTGTAACGGGTATTTCTGTACTGAATCAGTCTCCATAATTCTATTCAATTTATTGTTCTTTTCTAATGTTTTATTTTGGTAATGTTAGATTTTAAGATTTTTTAGTATGTCTTTGTAGCAAACCCAAAATAGCAGGTGCTACAAATTTTGGTAACATGAGGAAGAAAAAACTAACAATTAATAAAATAAGTTTTAGTGAATTTATGAGAAAAATGGAGATGACATTTGATTTTTACCCTACATACATGTAGTTCTATGCAAAATATGGTGAAAATTGAGGTTACATTCAAATAAATGGCTTTAACAATTTCATACCTGCCAACCCTGGATACACTGAAAGAGGGTGATTACCCTCATTTGAAAATGAAAAAGAGGGTCATAGCGTGCGACATATTTTTTTTCGCAACAAATAGAAGAAAAGTATATGTAGATATTAAATTAGAACTTTAATATTTTAATGATGTAAAAGGTACATTCTACATTCATTGAACTATTCTTCCAGCAGATCTACAGTAGCTGCATGATCCTCATCCACAATACCAGATTCAAAGCTGAAAAATAAAAAGATTTGTCAACAACACAACTTATAAAATTAATTCATAATAAAAAATATGATACTGTGTTTTCACAGGCATTTTTTTATGTCCATTAAAATGGTCCTGACAATAAGATGTTGCACCCTACACATAAAAAAAATATCAGTTTTATACAAGTAGGGTTTGAATTCTTATTGCCAGGATCATTTTGATTGACAGAAACAAATCTTCAAATGCCTGTGCATGTTTTTGAATGTCTAAGTAACATCGTTTTTAGCACCAGATCCAACTGAAATATGCAATTAACAAAGAGTGCAGAATGGAGCGTTTGGTCCATGACCGCCAGACTTTATCCACTATAACTCATTTTCCTACGACATTTGATATGTGCACAATTATCTTTTCTTTTAGTCCCGATAACGACCTCTTCCTTCAAGAAGACATAACGTTACCTTCAAAATACGATCTATTCTACGTAAATACATTGTAAAAACAACTCAATTATTCGTTAAAACACCTCACTAATTACTTGTCGGTAAGTTCAGTAACAACAATCTTTATATAAACATTTGTAAAAACAGTTCTAGTACGTATATAAACAACTCACAACTTACCTGTCGGTGAGAAACGGAAACGGGAAATAGATCATCTTTCTTATGAAACAGGATGGAAAAGTCTGGAGAATTCCGAGTGACTTTGGTAATTTCTAATATACGAAAAGATTCTTGGCGAAAATGGGAGAAATGGACGAAATCTGGGTCAAAATCGTAACCCGGCTGGTGAAGTTAAAAAAGCGTCTGAAGGGCTAAAATCCGGGGGGTAATATGATGAAATCGGGGCACTTGGCAGATATGCAATTTATCAGGCTATTCACAAGAATGTTACATGACAATAGTCAGAGTCATTATTGTGAACTACTGGAAAAAACTTATTAATAATGAAAAGAAGATATTTTGTTGAATAAATGCACTTTTACAGTTAAATATTGTTGTGTTATTCAGGTCCAGGTGGTCCTCAGCCAAACATGGGTGGACCACAGCCAAACATGGGAGGACCCCCCATGAGGCCAGACATGGGTGGTCCCCCTCAGTCTCGTCCCGAACAGAGGGACCCCAGGATGGGGGATGGGCGTGGTATGCCTCCGAGGCCTGGTCCCCAGGGTGGAGCTCCAGTTGGTATTCCAGGACTACCAAACTTGTCTTTGGTAAAGTGCTTTGTCATAGTTATCAAATAAATGTACACAAACATGGACTAAATTGGAGTTATTATATTAAGAAAACATCCCATTATTAATGTTATCCACTTATAAGGAACCTAGTGGTTCTTTATGCATGTATTTATTCAATCTATAGAAAGTTGAAAATATTCAATGGGGATCTAAAGGAACTGCTGGACTAATATATAGTAAGGAGTGAAATTGTTTGTAGATTCCTCTAATTACAAGCCTAATGTTTTTTTTACCTTTTCATTTGTTTGATGTTGGTTCTTTTAATATGTTGTTATGGACTATTTATTGGCCCTAACGGGCCTCTAAAATGTAGCAATGATAATTTTAAATAGAAAAAGTATTGTTGCAAAGAACTTTATTTTTACATTAATTGGTGTAAATTTACTATAAGGAAACATTCTGAGAAATTTCTCTAAATGCAAATGAATGAATGTCTGTACATCAACCCAAGTTAGACTGGAGTCACTGTGTAATACTGCTGTGTCTTGTATACAGGGTGGCTTACAGTTACCAGGAGGTATGCCAAATATGTCTGCTGGAGCTTCAATCTCGGCACAAGACCAAGAGAAGGTAGGGAAAGACTATTTTAACACTTCTGCAGTTCAAAGTTTAGATAGAAAAAAGGTCTAGTAAATATGACAAACTTTCAATGGACAAGGATGACTATCAATCAGAATATGCTGCATGAAAAATAAAGTACTGCTATAATATGACTATCGTTTTGTTATTATAAATGGTTTTGGTTTTATATGAAGGTATGCTTAAAAGTGGGGATGGTGGCCGAGAAAACAAGAGTTATTATAGGAAGGCTTCTGTGTATTATCTCATTTTCAGTAAATGTTATGGTTATACTAGGCACCTTGATACTGAATGATGTTGTGTTGTAGGCTGCCCTGATCATGCAGGTGTTACAGCTAACAGACCAGCAGATAGCCATGTTACCCCCCGACCAGCGGCAGAGTATTCTCATCCTCAAGGACCAAATAGCGAAGAGTGCAAACCCATAGACGCTAACATTGTTTTCTTATTGCTTCATCTTGTTCACAAAGACCCACAGTTAGATACCAGGAGCTGGAACATCAGGCATCAAATCACCTTATAAGGGTAGACAACTCTGTGGAACGCCATGTAAACCTCCACGGATAACAACTTGTTACAGTAGACACTATTGACCATTTCATTTGTCAATATCAAATTTTATAAATCACAACAGATTTATATTTTAAATTAGAGTGGCCAAAAGTTGTTTTACTAAAGTGTCTGGGGAATTGTCAAGGCTCATTGGATGAAATCAGTTGTTTTTTTGTATAGATGGTTGAAGGAGAACCGGGTCAAATAGCATGGTGTATGAATAGATGCATGGTTTATTTGATGTAAATATTGAAACTGCAGTTTACATCATATACAATTTATTGAAATGGCAGTTTAAAATGAAAGTGGCTTAAAAAAAAAAAAAAACACTTTGATTATATTTTGATAGATCCAAATTACCTGGTATTTCAGGTCCATCTTTAATCTTGTTTGAAGAAAAAAACTTTGCTTTCTTGAAGCAAGTACAAAATACAAAACAAAGGGACAGAGGTAAACATATAAATTTTGTCATTCAGTAGAAATATTGTTGTCATTTAGGGGAGATTTGGACTGAAAGTTTGAATGTTTCATTGTATGTATAGTGTTACGAATCAGTTCATTAACTGTATGAAAGTGTAACAGTATTATGGAATATCTTTCACTGTGGGTACGAGAGCAGATGAATGCTAAATAAATGTAACCAGTGAGGTGTACGAAAAATCTCCTCACCATTTTGATTCATGTCATTCAGTAGATTTTCCATACTCATGTTTTCATTATATTTTGGTGTCAGATCTAGATAGAAGTAAAATATGTCTGCTTCATTATGTGTTGAGATTTGTTTATTTTGATGCATGTAGTCACATTAGTATTTGCTGTCGTACAGAAGTCTTTGAGATGAGTAACCAATGTACGCAGTGCATTTTAGATTAAAACAGATCCAATCTTTTTGGAATCCTAACAAAACCACTTCTGAGACATAGCCTGGGCAGGAGTGTTGCAAGGATGAGGTGGTAGCGTATGTAAATATCTATTTTTCTGTTATAGTAACTTCTGGTTGTGACAACCCGGTTTTCTATGACACTGTGTGATATTCCTTTGTAGAAAGTGCTGATAGAGTTGGTCTTCCAGGCTGCTTGGTTCCATGCCTACGATTTCTTCCAGCTTCGAGGGGACCCTTTCGAATACCTAGTAGGCCCTATTGGTGATGCACTGGACTTTTTCTTAGCTCATTCAGTCGGTCCGGCTGTTACGCCTAAGCTTAGTTTAGCTCATTCAGTCAGTCCGGCTGTTACACCTAAGCTTAAGCATGTCTTGGCGTTTCTGCAGAGCCCCCCGTCCTTTCTGAAGCGTCAAACATTGTTTCCCCTGGCATTGATCAAGCTGTGTGCGAGATGTTCCCTCTTATGAATGAAGTCCTACAGCTGGATTAATCTTAAGCATCAGGTCAGTCTAGCAGAATAGCTGTTCCGTTTTGCTTCGATATGTTTACCCTCTAGTCATGTAAAGAGTTTCATCCGCCCGTTACCGCTGCCAGTATCTCTGTCCCTGGTAAGGTCGTAACTACACCGCGAAACATGCATTGAGATGTTATCAATCAACCTGAGCTTTGTAATGAAAGATTAAAACTTGTATACTCTCGTTATCTCTACTTCACATCTGTACCATAAACGATGCTAAGTATGTTTCTGAAAGTCATAACTGAATTAAACAATCTATTGGGAAAAAACCCATATATTCCATGTAGCAGTGCTAAATATTAGTTGTTCTAAACAGCTGTGTTTAAGTATCCTTGTATGCATATGACAGACAAATATTGATGTTCTGCATCATAGGATCAACGTCAGTTTCACTCAAATACCAAGGGATTCCTAGAAGGATGAAACGGCTGTATAATGCGGTGTCATTCATTTCTGACATATATGGGAGCCACAATCACATCACAACACACACATCTTATGCTGTCCATCAGTTACGAACATCAGGTGACGCTGTCTGGTTCCTCTTGTGTTCTCAGACGATGTCTGTGCAACGTCTGAGCTCTATTAGAGCCATCAAGTTGGTCATGCATTGGGTCGATCACATCTTTGATCTTATCAAATTATACAGGAAGGCATTTCATTAATTTGAGGCTTTAATTTTATCCATCCATCAATAGCTCTATGTGAAGATTTACGCCCACCTGCTGGCTGCAATTTCGTAGAATCTTGCACGGACTTCTTGGTCCCGACATAGTCATGACTTCCAATCTTTGAAATGCTACGAGTAGTCTTCCTGTGACGTGTCCATCTACCCATCCGTGTACAATTGTTTCTGGAGTATATTTCAAAAACCGTTATATATTATATGTTCAACATGAGCCAACACAAATCGTAGGTGCCTTTTGACATGTTTTCATGTTTCTGATATCAGTAAATTATAATTTGCGTTTCAAAACACCACAACATATTTTATCATCAAACTTCACACACGAGTTAATTACACTGCAGATGAGTGCGTTTTGATTTTACATTGAAATAGTGCTAAAAATATGTCCATTTTGGAGCATGTTTGCGTTCCCGGACCATATTTCAAAAATCGTTACAGGTATGATGCTCAAACTTGCTACATAAGTCCATTAAAACACAGAGAGATGCCATTTGCTTTATCACGTTTTAATGTTCCAAACTTACCGATGCCTACGCATATCTGTTTTGCTCAATCATGAGTGTGCGTGGTGCAACCTCGGAATTTTGATTCAAAGTTGTGGTTGGAAGTCATTGAAGTTGGTCATGGTTAGGTTAATTGCAGAACATATATTATAAATATTCGTCATATTAAGATATCTTTCGTCTTTTAGAGAAACTTTTGTTAGTTGATGCAATATTTGAGACCGCTAAATATTTCATTCAAGTTGGTACGTATGGATTATATATATACTACTCTCATTTTGTTTAGGATCACTTTTATTTTTGGGCATATGTGAAAATAAGTATTTTATCTGGTTTATACTGAGATTATTTTTGAAAAAGCCACAGGAAAAGGGTTACCCTTAAAATTGGTAACAACGAGGTATTCACTGAAAAAATTAAATTGAACAAAAGTCATCCTTACTAAACAGAAACTGTTTTAGTATCGAGTGTGACGCACATGAGCATCAATAACAGCTTCACAACGTCTACGCATGCCCTGAATGAGATCGCGTATCCGGTTTTTAGCTCACCTGGCCCGAAGGAATATATTTGATAAGGTAAACAACCTGGATACCCGACTTTGAATGACCTTGATATCAACGAAAAAGGAGCGGAGAAACTCATCCATCAGCTCAACGCCATTAAAGCCAGCGGCCCGGACAACTTGCCAAACCGAGTACTACAGCATTGTTCCAAGGAGTTAGCATTCTGTCTCGGCTACATCTTTAGACAGTGAGTCCCTTACCACCGGGGAACTACCAGATGATTGGAGGACAGCAAACACCATGCCCATCTTCAAGAAAGGGAACCAGCACCTTGCAAGCAACTACAGATCAGTTTCACTCACCTGTGTATGCAGCAACGCTACTAGATCATATATCATCTGCCGCCACACGATGAACCTCTTTCAGGAATATAACATCCTCACACATCTACAACATGGCTTCCGGTCTGGACATTCATGTGAATGGCAACTTCTGCTCACAATCCATGATATCATCAGTAAGTACGACCGTAAACACCAGATTGATACCGTCATCCTCGACTTCAGCAAGGCGTTTGACACCGTACCTCACTCTAAGCTTCTATATAAGCTTGAAAACTACGGCGTACACGACAACATTCTCAGATGGATCAGATGTTTCCTTACCACCAGGACCCAGAGAGTACTCGTAGAAGGAGCCCAGTCAACATCAGTAAAAGTAGAATCCGGCGTACCACAGGGTACTGTACTCGAACCAATCTTATTTCTGGCCCACATGAATGACCTCCCTACTTGCGTGCATTCATCAGTCCGTCTCTTCGCAGATGACTGTTTATTGTATAGATCGATCTCCAAACAGATCTGAACGCACTCGAGAAGTGGGCCGAGGACTGGGGCATGTCCTTCAACACCAATAAATGCTACATACTCAGAATGGCAAGAAGTAGAACACCAAGTACATACAGATACCAACTCAACAACAGCGTACTGGAAGAAGTGACAGAAAACCCATACCAAGGAGTAAACATAAGCAGCTCGCTCAGACGGGACTCCTATAACAACAGAACTATAAGGAAGGCAAACTCCACACTAGGATTCATGAGAAGAAAGGGGAAATGTCCATCAACCTTAAAATTAACAGCATACCGATCACCATATAGTAAGACCACTCCTGGAGTACAGTGCCACAATTTGGGACCTATACCAGAAGAAACACACATCATCACTGGAAAAGATCCAACGCAGAGCTGCGGGATTTTAGCAGTGTTGCATCTATGCTCAATAAACTGGGACTCACACCACTCGAGGAACGCAGACGTGAGCAGATACTAGTTATCTTCTATAAGATCATTAAGGGGCTAGTGGCTATACATGTAGACCAACATCTACATCCAAACACAAATACCCGAATGCGCACTTAGAACAGTCTGAACTTTATACAGCAAGTTACCAACACATAACTCTATAGGAATTCATTCTTTCCACGAACAACGAGTGACTGGAATTCCCTACCCAACAACACTGTGCACTGAACCCTTTTAAATAACGACTAAATTCACTATAAACTTTAAATGCACTATTTAAAACCCGGAAGTTTATACTCAAGATTGAGGCCTTTCTGGTAGACAACAGATACATCTGCTCGATGGGATTTAGATCGGCAAGCGGGCTGGCCAATCCATTCGTTGAATTGTCTCTTGCTGTAGATACTGCGCAGTCACCCTTGCTCTATGTGGCCTATCATTATCGTCCGTAAGGATGAAGTCAGGGCCGATAGCGCCAGCGTAGGGTCTGACATAGGCACCAAGGATTTCATCGCAGTTAGTCCAGGCCGTAACGGTACCATTATGGAAGACGGAGGTCAGTTTTCCCACGAAGGCTTATGCCCCCCAACTCCAACACTGAACCTCCGCCATATCGGTCTTTTCCACAACGTTATCTGCCTGGAACCTCTTCCCAGGTTGTATCCATACTCTGACGCGCCTGTCGATGAAGTCGAGACAGAATCTGTACTCGTCAGTAAAAAAAAAAAAACGGTTCCCATTCCTGAAGGGTCAAAGTGCCGTGAGCTTGGGCCCAATCAAATCGGTCCCTAACATGGCGGGCAGTTAAGTGAACTCGTATTGCTGGTCTACGTGACCTTAAACCAGCATCACGAAGACGGTTCTGAGCTGTCTGAGTGGCTACCATGGTACCAGAAGCATTTAGGAGGTCATTTCGTAAAGTTGTGGTAGTCTGGAACCTGTGTCGCGGTGCCTGTATGAGCAAAAAATGGTCTTGGCGTTGCGTGTAGCCCTAGAACGACCTCCAGCATGACGTCTGGAAGGGTTTTCGTTAGTTTGGAAACGATTCCACATTCTTGCCACCACACTTTGAGACACCCAAAGGTCTACTGCAACCTGACGTTGAGATATGCTAGCTTGCAGCATTCCGATGCCCCTATTCATTTCACCGTCATTTAACCGTTGTCTGGTCCGTCTTTGTGCCATATTAAAAAAAATACGCAAAGAATTAAGAATATTCATCAAATTGATTTCCTTAACAATTTGAACAACGCCTTACTTAGCCTAGCTTAGCTTTTGGAAGAGGTATACACGTGGAAAAGCGTGCACGCGCTTTTTTGGTTGACTAAACACACAAACACAGGACGATTTTGAAGGCTAACAGATTCGCCCAAAAACTGTGCCGTGTACGGAAGGAAAATATAATATCCTTTCTAACATTTTGATTTATTTTTCAAAATGTGAGTAGTATATAACGGATCATATAACACAACCAGTGAAGTGTTTTAGTACGTTATTTACTCTGACACCTTCATTAGACAAAATTTGTCAGGTACATATTGTAATAGTAAACGAAACGTCACGCATAAACATTTCACTGATTGCGCTATATGAACCCTTAAACAATACAGTGAATGTATCCTCTTCACAGTAGATTCATAACTTATGCCTTACAAATTGTTGCTGTACATAAGGTAAAGTTGGATACTGACACATTTCGTCCCTATGTCAAATCTTGGATATGATATTGAAACTGATCAGTTATTTAGATATCAAATAGTTATAGTTCGTAAATGTTAAAGGACTTACTTTGTAAACATGTAATAGTCTCTAGAACTGAGGAGTGAATTATAAGGATGAAATTAATATTGACTAAGTATGTAAATATCCAATTTTATATTCTTAACTGTTATCACCTAGACAATATGACATCGCTGTAAGTGTAGTCTTGCACTGATAAGGTGGTCGCTATGATCGGTCAGAAATCGGGCAATATGGCGTTGACGTGGTTGACGTGTCTCTCACTGTTGGTAGTTTGTAATCTTGCTTTCGCACAAAGTGAGGATTCTATTGAGATGCGACTTCGTAAAATGGAGAGAGAGTTTTCGTTGTCAATAGAATCTTTGAAATCCGAGCTGAAAGACGCCAAGGACAAACTACAATTCCTCCAGTCAGATCTTTACTCGACAAAATCGAGTTTGCGTGTTGTGGACCTACAATTGTCAGCTACTCGAACCGATCTAGAAACAACTCGGATTGGACTTCAAAAGACCCAGTCGGAATTACAAATGACTCGGGCAGAACTGGTGGCGACAAAGTTGAAACTTCGTAGTACGCAGTTTATGACTGAAATAATGAGTGCTGAAAATGATCATGGAATTGTGGCCAACGAGATACTTTATAATGATACAAAGAGCAGGCTAGTCATACCACCAACTTTTTCTGGTAGAAAAACCAACCCTCCTGAACCACAACCAACAAAGCGTAAAACTGAACAAACCACAACGAAACTAAGTAAGTCACACGGTTTTGGGACGTGGTCACAAATGTAGATATATATCATTGTATTGTAGGCTACAAGGACATGATATTGTACTGTAGGCTACAAAGACGTGATGGCATTGTATTGTAGGGTACAGGTATGTGATATCATTGTATTGTAGGGTACAAGGACGTGATATTATGGTATTGTTTAGTACAAGGACGTGTGATATCATTGTATTGTAGGCTACAAGGACGTGTTGTTATTGTATTGTTGGGTACAAGGACGTGATATCACTGTATTAAAGGGTACAAGAACGTGATATTATTGTATTGTAGGGTACTGGGACGTTACTTCATTGTACTGTAGGGTACTGGGACGTTACGTCATTGTATTGTAGAGTACAGGAACCTGATGTCATTTTATTGTAGGATAGAGGGACGTGATGTCATGGAATTGTTTAAAAAAGGGATGTGATGTCAATGTGTAGTAAGTTACAGGGACGTTACGTCATTGTATTGTAGGGTACAAGGATGTTATGCAGGTTAGGTGATACCATTGTATTGTAGGATAGAGTAAGGTGATACCATTGTTTTGTAGGGTAGAGTAAGGTGATACCATTGTACTGTAGGATAGAGTAAGGTGATACCATTGTATTGTAGGATAGCGTAAGGTGATACCATTGTATTGTAGGCTAGAGTAAGGTGATACCATTGTTTTATAGGGTAGATAGTCCGAATTATTCTGACGTTTTATCAACTTTTTTCATATCGGTCTCGACAGACCGATATGATATGAAAAAAGTTGATAAAACGTCAGAATAATTCGGACTAAGGGTAGAGTGAGGTGATACCGTTTTATTGAAGGACTAAGTGACAGGGTAACATTTTATGGTAGTACTGTAATCAGGGAAATGTTGTCATTTTATTGTAGGTACTCTTGGAAGATGATGAAAGTCATTTGTTATATTATAATTTTAGTTAAGAGTCTTATTAACAGCTTGGGTTATTTAAGAACGTGATGGTGAGAAAGAGACAGGCAGATAGGAATACAAATAAGAAGTTTCATCTTTTTAAATCATTACATATAAAAGATAAGTAAAAAAAAAAAAACAACAGAAGAGCAATTCGAACCTAGATGCCTCTTATATTGGTTGATAAAATGCGATAGCTATAAACTATTGAAAATCCAATGAACTAATCTGTTTGGTATTGCAGATCGCCGTGTTTCTGATGAAAGCCTCGAAAAAGCATTTTCCGCTCAGACGTCCAAACATGTTGAGTCGCTTGTACCTCACCAGACTGTCATCTTTCCGCACATCGTCCTCAACGAGGGTGCGGGCTACGACAACCTAACCGGTGTGTTTACCTGTTCTGAGTCCGGGGTCTATCATTTCTCTGTCACCATCATGGCATTTCGCAACGACGAAGTCGAAACAGAATTGATTGTCAATGGTAACGTGGTGATGGTAAACTATGCTGGCGGAAACCAGCAGCACAACCAGGGCACCAACTCAGTCGTGGTACGTTTGGACATAGGAGACCGAGTTTGGGTTCGAGTTGAGGACAACCCAGTCATCAACACGAATAGTATACACATATATGGGTACGCTTGGTCAACCTTCACCGGCTTTATGATATAATTCTGTTGGGACCTAATAAATAAAGTATATGGTTTTGTTGATTGTATTACTATGTAGACATATGATTTAGCGTCTCCGTATATACACACCAAAGATCCTTATGACACACCCTATACCCGTACGTGCCTTACGACAAATCGACACATTCTATCACACGCCTCGACCATGATATTTGTCATATATTGCATTTGTAAATTTTAACAATTCTTTCCAAGACAGTACGACACAAATAAATTCAAATCAAAATGAGATGCAAGTGCTGTGTGACAGTTTGTTTATGTCTTAAGTGTTTGCACTGTATATCAAACTATTATATATTCACCGGTTTAGTTTCGCAGCCATCAGACGAAATATTGGTGGAATCAGATATCAGTGTACAACTTGACATCATGGTGAACATAGGGGCCAGGGGACATGTCGGGTGAGGCTTTTAAAAGTGATTGGTGCTGGAAACACACGGGCGACTGTACAGCAGAAACACCAGAGTAAATGAATACAGAACTAATTGTAAAACTACTGAAGAAAAGGAATCTGGGGAATTATAATTACTGGAGAGGAATATATTCACTCCCCGAGACACAAAGCTGTTTTTCCATAACCATTTTGAAAAGTATGATATATTTAAGAAACAGCTGCATATAGCATATTTTTACACTTGGGCAGATTCTACAACTGATTGAAGAGTGAAATAGCATCGTCTAAATCAATTTAACAACATTCACAGAGAATCTTTGTAGAATAGTCTGTGAAAATATGGAATCAAGCAGAATGTTGAAAATTGTATGATAATTTTCAAATTCAAGGTGAGTTGCAGCAGCAAAGACTGCTTCAATGTGAAATCTTGGGTAGGAACAGAATGCATCCTGTCCCTAAACTGTCCATTACGATGAAGTCAAAAGAAGCTAATAAGAGACTAGGTTACAAAATGAGCACTGACAGAAGTACCAAAGACATGGGTCATGGTGATGGTATTGTTTAACTTCATGACGACATCAGAAGTTAACACTGCTGCCAAGACAGACCTAAAGGTTGACCGAGATGTATGTGATTCAGAATAAGGAAAGAAATATAAAGTACAAATAGGGGACAAGGAGGTATTCACTTAACTGGGATAAAAAATGGCGATATGTTTGTATTCCAGAAAGGAAGAGAAGTCAATAATGTAGAGATAGGTATTTCCTTGTACACTGAACACAAGGACCCGGATTTTAACATTTGTTACATGGTGTTTTGCAGTGTGCTTCGAAATGCTAAAATATAACAACTCCAATCATATACCAATTTAATTGGAAAGTAAATAAACAGGAATGCCCCAAAAGCATTCTCAATAAATTCTGAACGATGAAGAACGAAATTTTAAAAAAAAATCCAGGCTCCGAGATGCAACATTCAAGTAAAACAGTCAGGCTAAATTGTACGAGATTCCTCGACTCGGAAATAAAAACATAGGTAGCCTGTACCACAAATCTGGCGTGAAATTCAGGAAGGAAGGATTCTCGAGAAATTCTGGTCTAACACCATCACAAACCAGGAGGGAGTAATCAAAAGACAAACGCTTGGGCACGTGTGTCAAATGTCAACGAACCCATTATCAAACGTTGTTTTCAAGTGGATAGCAGATTGAAAGATGAAACTTTTGCTATCAAAAATAAAGCACAGAAGATAGATAGAAAAGGCGATGAGAATGCGCCCTGATATTGGAAAATATTAATAGACTTCAGAAATCAGACCGACAGCTCCCGAGGCACGAAGAGGATTAAGTACCATGATATAGTACAGTTCACATTTACTATACATGCAGCATACAGTTTACATTCAGTTTATAATAAAGTTTATATGCAGTATAGCAAATAGTTTGAATCATATAGGCGCTTATTGTGTTCATATGTGTTGTAAACCTAGGTCAGTCACTGCACCATGCGCTGCGTCTGTCGTTGAAAGTTTAAAGATTCTATCTGCCAACTGCCAGGGTCTTGGAGATTTTTCTAAACAAAAAGACGTGTTTTCTTACCTAAAAACGAAACAATATACATATATTGTCTGCAAGATACGCATTTTACAGCTGATAAGGAAAAGATCATTCTTTCAACTTTAGAGAAAAGAACCCCGAGACCAAAAGATATACATGGCGTAAGAAAAAAAAACACACAAACAAGCAAGATTAGATTATATCTTAATATCAGACAGTTTACTACCAAGTCTCACATCTTCAATAATTGAACCAGGCTACCGCTCTGGTCATTCTTTCTCTACCATACACTTGTCTTTTAATAACTTCATACGGGGAAAAGGTATATGGAAATTTAATAACTCTCTTTTATTTGATGCTGAATTTTTAAATATTATTAAATCAACAATAGATAATGTCGAGCTGCAGTATTCGATACCTGTTTATAACATAGATAATATCAGTAATATACCGCTAAATGATATAGCACTTACCATTAACGATCAGCTTTTCATAGAAACTCTTATGATGGAAATTAGGGGTAAAACAATTTCATATTCAAGCCACATTAAAAAAATCTAACGAGAGAGAGAAAACTTTAATCAATGAAATTAGGAATTTAGAAAAAACAGGACCTAACAACACATTTTTAAATGAGTTAGATGATAAAAAAAAAAGGAATTGGAAGAAATAGGAAAGCACAAAATTATAGGAAATATGATACGTTCAAGGGACATAAATATCTGACCAAACTGAAATTTTAAAAGAAACAGAAAATTACTACAGAACCTTATACAAAGAACGCAATTCACTTAAAAGTGTTAATCTTGAATTACTTCTAGAATCATACACTGTACCCAAACTATCTGTCAATGAATCATGAAATATAGAAGGCCCACCTACTATAAATGAATTAACAAACACACTTTTAAAAATGAAAAACAACAAAAGCCCTGGTTCCGGTGGTTTTACAGTTGAATTTTTAAAAATATTTTGGAAGCAATTAGGACCATTTATTTTAAGATCACTAAATTACAATTATAGTATATCCGAACTTTCGGTAACACAAAACCAGGGAATCATAACTTACATTCCAAAAGGTAATAAACCTCGTAATAAATTAAATAATTGGAGACCTATAACACTTCTAAATCATATCTATAAATTAGCATCTGAAGTAAATTAATCAGTAATACTCAAACTGGCTTTATTCCTGGTAGATATATAGGAGAAAACACACGCTTGATTTATGATGTTATGCAGTATACAGAAGATAATAATATACCTGGACTATTGCTTTTAATTGATTTTGAAAAAGCGTTCGACTCTGTGTCATGGACTTTTATGAGTAAAACATTGAAGTATTTTAATTTTGTCCCGAACATTATCAAATGGATAAAACTTTTTTCAGAATAATACACACTCAGCAGTAAATATAGGGGGGAATCTATCAACATTTTTCAATATAGAACGGGGCTGTCGTCAAGGGGATCCGATATCTTCATATATTTTCATTTTATGTGCTGAAATTCTATCAATAAGTTGGAAAATAATAAAAAATATCAAAGGAATACTTATAAGGGAAAAGGAAATCCTCTTATCAAAATTTGCTGATGACACATCTGTTATTCTAGATGGTTCAAAAAAATCTTTAGATGACACATTAAAAGCTCCTAACTACTTTGCTAGTATTTCTGGACTAAAAATGAACTTCTCCAAGACCCAGGTAGTATGGATTGGAAGCCAAAAATACAGTGAAAACACTTTTACTACAAATTTTGACTTAAAATAGGGAAGTACACGCTTCATCCTATTAGGCATAGAATACGATGTAGACCTACACAGAATGATCAAACTTAATTTTGACAACAAGCTTGCAAAACTGAAGTTTTTAATATCTGTCTGGAACAAAAGAATGCTTACGCCAATAGGTAAAATAGTTGTTATCAAAACTCTACTAATATCTCAGTTTAATCATTTGTTTATATCGCTTCCCAATCCTGATGACTTATATATTAAACAAATTAACAATACATTGTACAATTTTCTATGGAATGGTAAACCAGATCAGGTAAAAAGGGATATAATTATAAAAAAAAACTATGAAGAAGGGGGGCTTAAAATGATGCATCTAAAATCTTTCGTAACTGCTCTTAAAGCAACTTGGATCAGAAGGATATATAGTAAACTAGGAAATTGGGGTATTGTTGTGGAATCGTTATTTGATAAACAGAAATTAGCAAATACTGAAATTGAGAAATTGAAAGAAATATAAAAAAAAAAAATGTAAAAATGTATGCCTGGTATAAAACTATCAATGCAAGCAAAATATACAAAACAAATATTAGTGAAAATCCAATATGGTTTAACAGTGAAATAAAAATAGATATAAGGGGATGTTTTCTAGTCGTATATAAGGGATGTTTTTAGTTATGTATAGTGGATATTTTTCTGGACGTTTATAAGGTGTTACAAGGGAATTTTCAAAGGATGCGTTTTTCTTTAGATTCTTTATATACTGAGGAAACAAGTGTTCCCCAAGTTGATATGTCTTCCTGTAGATATATGAAAGCTTTTTGACGAAGCTGTGAAGGAACTAAGTTGTAGGAGCAAAAATGAAATATATAATTGGTACATGTATATCAATAATATATCTATATCTACATACTACACAATGCATTTGTGTAGTTGCGTATCAGATTGATATGTTATATATACATCATCAGCCAACTAAGCCATTAACATTGCCACAATTTTCAAATTTAAATGAAATAGATATCTTTTATCGAAAAGGGGATGTTTGAAAGAGAGACATATTTTTATGAAGCATTTGAAAAACTTACAATACAAAATGAACCAATTTCAATTGGGGTTTTTTCTCTTCTTTTTCTCTGAATTATCTTCAAAAATATATTTTCTGAGATTACAGAGAATGTAGATGCAATTTAGAAACTTTCAAATAAGGACAGATTTGTATCTATTATTTGAAACATTTACACGTTTCTTAGTTGGAAGTGCCATTTCAAGACAAACAAAATAAGACGCATATATCCCAAAAATAATATTTTAAAATAAGAAAGAAATATGGTGGTGATTATCTCCCTTAGAAGAAATCTTTGCGTTGTCATGTAAACATCAAATACAAAATGGCGCCGAAATTGGCAGTGACCTGACATTCTAACATAAAGACGTGCATTGTAAACAGGTAAATTGCAAAGGTTTCTTTAAATAGGAGTAGTTATAAGTATTAAAAGTTTACCAGAGTAAGTTAATTAATGTGCAATATACCAATTAGAAGAATAACTGTTTAGCTAAACGTACGTTTGCAGCCTACCAGTTTACGACAAAGCTGGAGCAAAACTGTACTGGTACCTGCGATTTATGTTCCGGTTTACTGGAACAGGAATATCGCTACAGTGCGGTAGTGGTTTGCTCAGATAGCGCATACGAAGTCGTTTTATAGTTGAAATAAACGTGAAGGTACACGATATCTTGATAGTGTGGCCGATTTAATTGTACATAGGATTACGGTCGCCTTCCAGCTTCGAACTAGGAGGAAGTTCCCTTTACTCTGACTTTAGCTCAGTGGTAGAGCGTCCGACTAGGGACATGGAGATAGAGGGTTTGATTCCCCGGTGGAAGCACACTATTCTCTTTCCAGTTACAATAGATATGTACATGTAGGGTGTCTATAGAATCAGCATCAAATGGCACAGTCGGTCTATAAAGCGAACACATCTGCTTCTTTATTATAACTGTTGTATTAAATCAGTGTGACACCCTCCACAAAACAAATGTATTACTTTATGACACCTACGGTCGATGGATCCTCATAACATACACGTGTACCTACATGTATATCCATTACTGTTTGTCACATGTATGAAACTCCCTAGAAGTTGAACAACAATAAAAAATGAAATATCAAAAGGCCATGCTGCATTATAATTTTCTTTCAGATCCATATTTTTTTTAATGTAGGGGCCAGGGCATTGGATGAGTCAATAGGGTATATTGACATGTTGCCATGCATCTTTGATCTTTAAAATCTTAATATAACTCCATGAACATACATTAGATATGAAAGAAATAATTGTATACAAATTACACATTTTACAGCATAGAAGCGGACAATATTTCAAAGCTTATAAAATATCTTTATTCATTCTTTTTTTTCCACAGCCAAGATGACAGCATACAAATTCACAGCTCACAAACAACTACGCCAGTTGCTCAATAATACAGAAGTTGTTCAGAAAAAGGACATTAAGGACTATGCAGGGGGTCACTTGAACCAGTCTAAATTGTACAGGCCCCCAACACAGTGGGCAAACAAAAATTGGAACAAGACCAACCCAGAACCACTCTCAACCAAATCTAAGTCTAAGAGCACCATTGTTGTGAGCACGAGGCAACCTACAGAAAGAGATCACAAGATGAAAGACGTTCTGTATGATTTCAGTATCGGTACATCAGGTAGTTTACCAACGCATCAAACAATTAGGCCACCAAGAAGTCCTAGAAAGGTTTCAGAGTCACGAACATCTACAAGAAAATGTCCAAGTGCTTCATCCAATAGGTCACTTTATACAGAAATGGAAAAGGATGGTGTCTATGTGGAAGAACTAAAGACAGATGAAGTGATGTTATCTTCACCAAGGATCACAAATTCTAAAGGCAAGAAGCTGCCGCCTGTGGAGGACAATGAGTACACAGTGATGGAGGACCTGGCCAAAAGTTTAGCGGAGGAAGGACTCCTAACATTCAGACATACTTTCTTACCTACACACCACATGGGTGTGACAAAAAAGGACCAGTATATTAAACTTATGAGTTTTGAAACAGATATCCTAAAGAAGCAAGAATCAAATGAGAAGAAAGTTTTGTCTGGTGAAAAAGCTGTAAAACATTTAGAGGAGAGACTTCAGCAGGTTGGTTTCAGAATTTAGAAAATGTTCCAAAAGCTACCATGCTTATCTAATGGTTAAATTGTCATTTATAATGTTTGCAATATTTTTAATGAAAATTTAATGTTTCAATAATTCAGATTTGATGATTAATGGTTTAACTGACCAGCATTTTGGATCTAATCAATATGTAAGATAAAGAAAAAAACATGTTTTCAATATCATTTAAAACTTCAGATTTTTGTAAATGGTTGTTATTTTCTTTCAGGAACTTGATTCCATGAATTTTTTTGACATGGGTCCAAATTTTCACAAGCTGCAGATATATAGTAATACATTTGAAGACTTGATAGAAGACTCCCCAACATTTGTGTATATCCTTCGAGCTGTCAAGGTAAGGGCCATCTTAATGCAATTGAAAAAGAAGCATGAACTGTTTTATTTTTGTTCTATAATCAACCCTAGATAAGTCAATGATAAACTAAGGTCTCAGAGAGACATCATCAACACGACATGTCATTGTGGTTGTCTTAGTCAGTTGGTCTGTGAAACACATGTGACACTCAGTATTAGGTGATAGGTAAAGCATGTGTGACACTCAGTATTAGGTGATAGGTAAAACACATGTGACACTCAGTATTAGACGATAGGTAAAACACATGTGACACTCAGTATTAGGTGATAGGTAAAACACATGTGACACTCAGTATTAGGTGATGGGTAAAACACATGTGACACTCAGTATTAGGTGATGGGTAAAACACATGTGACACTCAGTATTAGGTGATAGGTAAAACACATGTGACACTCAGTATTAGGTGATAGGTAAAACATGTGTGACACTCAGTATTAGGTGATAGGTAAAGCACGTGTGAAACTCAGTATTAGGTGATAGATAAAACACATGTGACACTCAGTATTAGGTGATAGTTAAAACATGTGTGACACTCAGAATTAGGTGATAGGTAAAACACATGTGACACTCAGTATTAGGTGATAGTTAAAACATGTGTGACACTCAGTATTAGGTGATAGGTAAAACACATGTGACACTCAGTATTAGGTGATAGGTAAAACACATGTGACATTGAGTGTTGGGTGATAGGTAAAACACATGTGACACTCAGTATTAGACGATAGGTAAAACACATGTGACATTCAGAATTAGGTGATAGGTAAAACACATGTGACATTCAGTATTAGGTGATAGGTCCATGTTACAGTTTATGGAAAACATGACAGGTCAGGAGTTTAATGTTTTATATCAAGTTATTTTAAAACAAGGCTAATAAAGCTTATAAAAATGTGTGTTTCTTGACACCCTGAAGTAGTAGATAAGGCATGTTTTACACCCAAGTATAGCAGACAACATGTAGAATATATCTTTTCTACATCTGTATCATGGCAGTCCTTCCGTCCGTCCTTCCGTCCGTCCTTCCGCTATCTTGTCTGGGCTCTGTCGCCTACACTACTTGTCACTGGAACTTCATACTTGGGGTTTGGGTTCACCTTGGTAAGGCGGTGTGTCATGTATCAAAAGTAGGTCACTCTGACCTACATTTTGACCTTTGACCTACATCAAAGAAAACGTTTGTCCGGTCTCTATCTCCTACACTACTAGTCACTGGAACTTCATACTTGGGGTATGGGTTCACCTTGTTGAGGCGGTGTTTCGTGTATTAAAAGTAGGTCACTTTGACCTTCATTTTGACCTTTGACCTGCATCAAAGAAAACGTTTGTCCGGGCTCTATCTCCTACACGTCTAGTCACTGGAACTTTATACTTGGAGTATGGGTTCATCTTGGTGAGGCGGTGTCGTATATATCAAAGTAGGTCACTCTGTTTTTGACCAGGTCACTGACACTATTCCTTATTAAATACGCTGGGTCTGTCAAACATTAGTATTAGAATTAGTTCTTGCACAAGTTTATCATCTGTGCATTTCACATTCGGTGGGGGACTATAATTCGCCGAATTGTCTTGTTGATTGACTCTTGTCTCCCACACAAACAACCACATAAATGATATCATAGACTTAATTACTTCCCTCTACCTGCATATTATAGATCTTACCAGTTTCCTACATCAACATTTAATAGGATAAACTCTATTAGCCCTCCCTCCCCCCTCCACACACACCTAACACCTATTTATAACAGATTATCAGTCTCCTATACCTACCAGGTATATATGGAGACTCTATCACCCCTACCCCATCCCCCACACACCTGAATATGGTGGTTTGATAGACTCGAATCACCTATGCATGTAAGTAAATGGATCCAAAATATAATTATTAGTTTTTTTGACGTTAATAAAATTGATCAATATAATCCTGTGTAAAGTAAAATAAGCTGATGTTCTCTACAGACTGAATATGATAACTACATCTCAAAACTGCTGGACACCCAAACTCCTCAACATAGTAAGTTATTAAAGGAACAAGTACAGCAGATGGCCAGTCGTGGAACATCACGCCCTGATGACCTCCAGGATGCTAAGGATAGGGTGTCTCACCTGGAACAAAAGGCCAAAGACAAACTGGAGGAGAACGAAAAGTAGGTATACTGGTCACTGGGGGCACCAGATATTCATTTAAGAAAGAAATGTTGTGGGAAGGAAAAAAAAAATACAAAATGGATTAAAATGTTCAGTGTAGCATACTCAGTATTATATCATACTTAATTGATCTCCGAGGAAGGTTTCTATTGGCACCTTATAGTTTACTAGCCTGTCATCTGCCATAGGTCCTCAGTGGTCAGTTAAGTTTTGTATATATTAGTATGTGTCCTTGCCATACAGTGCTATGATGATGTTACAATCATATAATGATGTTTCCTTACAGGTTGAGGAGGATGGTGGAGGAGGAAGAAGAGTGGCTGGCCACTGTTCCTGAACCAGGTACTGTACATTAAAGTTAAACAGTCACAGACTTTTCCTTTCTGATTTTTGTGTACAGATATAAGTAAAAGAGTAATTTTTCATTTCAAGTAACATAAGTTCTCTATTAAAAGTCAACTGTCAATGCAATGGATCAATCAGAATGCTTATCTAAACCTACAAAATTCCAATAAACTGATTACCTGGAAGTTTCAGTCCCCCTTTAACTCTGGACACTCATCAACTCTTCAAGGGTACTGTCAGGATTTTGGCACTATTCCACAATACTCTACAAGATGAATTTATTTATGTTTACACTAATAAATTAACCAGAAGTTGTGAAATTTTAATGTAGAAGCTTGTTTAAATAGTATCCCTGTGTCATATAAAATTGTCATCCCCCATAAAATACTCATCCAGATAGGTATCTTATGGGGATGAATATTTTATAGGACACCGGTACTGTACTACAGAGAATGAGGATACCGTAACATATTTTAGGGATTGTCGCTGAAGTCTCCATTTCTACAGCATACACTTTAACTAGGAATCACCTCAAAGATCATTGTTTGATATTTATTATTGACATCCTGTCTTTCTGATCTGCTGATGCATTGTACATTTTTGATAGAATTTCATCAAGGAAGGACAAATTACTTAATTGAGCTGTAATTTCAATAATTTTAATTGTTATCTTTTGGATGGTTTGTACAGATCTTCAACGGAAGAGATCCAGTGTGTTCCGGGAGGAAGGTCCCGCAGAACTGGCTGACGAAATTGAGCATGCAAAGGCTTTAATTCTGGAAAAGCTTGATGATCTCAACAATCTGAGAACAAAACTACGGGAACAGTATGTTCCCCTCACTGTGTGTACACACCTAGAACAGTGTATTAAGGAAACAGAGGTAATACTTCAACTATACTAGCTGTATGGTTCCAGAAGAGACTTTTTTTTTTTCAAAGTAATTTTTTATATAATTTACTTTACAAAAATAATGATATTGTGCGGTGTTGGACCATATCAGATGTTCACATTTTGAGTATATAAGACTTGGATATTTTTGCGACAAAAATATGTTCTGTATTGCTGTGGATATGTCAGGTATATCATTTGCTATCTACCTGGCTATGCTTTATAAGATGTTTTCAAGACAAAGATCCATTTGAAACAATGTACAAATGATTACCTGGGGTGTACTGTAAGCGTCGATATACAGTGAGTACTACTACTTACATCAAACTTGTCACATGGAGGGAAACAAATTCAGTTGATCAAATTTTCAAATGAAGGTCCACAGGTCAGGCCCCTCATAGAGAGTACTATAGTACACTGACATAACAGTCATGTCCTAAGGTAACTTTCATTATACAATGTTTTGTAATACTTGAGAAATAGATTGAATTTATAACAATATAATGTACCTTTTCAAATGCAGGTTGAGGTACAAAAACTGCTGAAGCAGAATGAGTACTTTGAGAGAAGTATTGAAGAGATGGAGGTGGATCTGAAAGAGGCTATCCAACAAGCTGACACCAGTGAGAGGGACGCCAAGTAAGTCAATACAGACATTATCCTTCATTTCATATCTTCCATAGTCACTTACAGTTTATTCCAGGGACATGAACCTAAAGAGAAGTCCACATTGTTATCTCAACCAGTCTATCTGTTAGCTCCTGTTAGTCTATCAGTTAGCTCCTGTAAGTCTATCTGTTAGCTCCTGTTAGCCTATCTGTTAGCTCCTGTTAGTCTATCGGTTAGCTCCTGTT